GGGGGGGGGGGGAGGAACGTGCGATGTTGTGGAATACCCCCCCCCCCTCCCCCCCTCACGCTCCCCCCGGCGCACGGGGGCAGGCTGGAGGCAGGTGCCCCGCCCTCCTTCCTCTCCCTTTGCCGCCCTTGCCGCCTCTCCACGTGCGCCTCTCTCGGATCCGTTCGAACGCCACCAGAAGGCCACCCCCTGTGCGGGGAACATGTGAAAAAGAGGGTGACACCTTCGGCAGCGGGACATCTCCTTCTCTTTTTGCGTGCGCGTGTTCTTCCCCCCTCCCTGTGTCTGCCCTGCCACACCAGGCTTCCCCGTCACCGAGCGCGGCTGGCTGAGCGTGGTCTTCGACACACCGGCAGCCCTACACGTCTCCCGGGCGGATGCGCAGCAGCAAGACCTCGCCGGCGGTGCAGGGTGGGGGGGGCCGAAGGATCACCACAAAAAACGGCGGAAAGAGAGACGGACACCCTCACCGAGACAGAGGAACACTTGAAAATAGAGCCCGCGCGTCCTGGTCAGCTCAGTCGGTTAATATTGAGATATTGGCGTTAATATTAAAGAGGGATTCCATTAACTCTGCGCCTCAGGCAAGAGAAGACCGCGAGGCATGGGCCCGAGCTCCAAAACCAGAATGCCCTGGTGGGCAACCCCCTGGCGGATAAATGGGCTCGCCCCGGGGGCGCGAACGCCTCCCCTCTGGCTGGGCGCGTTCGCATCCGGCCGTGGCGCCGCGGCCTGTCGGCGGGAACCGCGGGGGCGGGGGGCGGGGGAACGCCAACGGTCGGACTAAGCGGACCGGCCCAGCGGGGGAGAGGGTGTAGGGTGGAATTAACAGGCCTCCCGTGCCAGGGGAGGACCGAGGAATCTCGGTGGGGGCAGTGCCTGGACCGGTAAACTCGCATCCCTCCGGCGGGGCTGCCTTCCCCGGGGATGGCTGGGCGATGTGGCTTGCGGGACCTGCCCGCGCATCGGCGGACCGCCGCCGCCGCCGCCGCCGCCGCCGCCGACGGTCCTTGACCCCTGTGGAGGCCGAGAAAGGCGCCGGCAGCCCTGGGTCGCGCGTCGCCCCGGCCGGCGGCCCAAGTTCAGGCAAGAGGGGTGCGTGGCGGGGGGACATTCGCGTGAGAACTCCCCCGGGGAGAGTGCCCGGGGGGTGGCCGCGAATCTCAACGTTCCGGGACATCCCCGCCGGCCAGGATGGTTAATTCTCCCTGGCCAGGGCCGGCGGCTGTCAGCATGTTATCGACCCGAGCGAGAGGTCCGAGGGTTGCCGGGGCGGGGGAGGGGGGGGGGGGGGTGCGGGGAAGGTGTTTGTGACTTGCTTGTCCTGGGCGTCGGGCCTCGTTCGCGGACGCTTTCCAAGCGGCCTGCCGAGCGGGCCTCTCGACCCGCCCGGAGCCGCGCTGCATGCGGGCTCGGCGTGTTGGAGCCTCGCACACGCGCCTGCGGGACTGGCAAATGGCATGCACCCGTGGAGGGCGGGCCGGCCAGCCGGCGGGCGAGCCGGCGGTCCTTTTCACGCTGCCACCGGCAGGGCGCCAGCATTGTGGCTTGCTGGCTGGGCGCGCCGGCGCCGGCTCCATTTCCCGCGGATCCCGCGTCCGCCGGGGTGGTGGTTCGGCACGCGAACGCGGCCCTACCCCGCATTTTCGCCGGACTCGGCGTGAACGAGTGCGCCCACGCCCGCGCCGCGCCGCGCGCGCGCGCGCCCACACCCGGGGCCGGATGGCCTGATACCTCCCTCCGGTCTGTGTTTGATCCGACCCGGGCCGCACGCACATGGATAGATCAATATTCCCCGCGATCCCCTCGCCCGCCCCCGGCTGCCGCGAGGACAGGGCAACCGGGTCCTCTCCCGAATCCCTGGTTTTATGGGCATTTTCCCCGCCACAGGGAGCCGGCCAGGGCTGGGACCTGGGGGGGGGGG